GGAAAGAGGGTGCAGAAATGCAGGCGTCCACTTTGAGCCCCTAGTCGGACCAGTCACTCAGGGCTCTCGCTCTGACTGCAGGGATGACACAGAATGAGTGGATTTATTCTTGAGCATTTCTGACTTTTGACAATACCTGGCTTCCCGAAATAATATTTGTCTTCTGCTGATTCATGGATAAACTGGTTTTGCCAAAGCAGACGTATCAAATCCTTTAAAGGAAAAGTCTGACATTTTGGGAAACGTGTTTTCCTGCCAGTAGTCATATGCAAATTGAAGCTACCACTAACTTGGCACTAATAGGAAAAAGCTAAAGGTAGCTCGACTCTATCCACAGATAAAATGTACCTGTCACCACCTCCAAAGCTCAGTAGGCTTGTTTAATCTATTCAACACAAAGTTTGTCAGCAGCCATTTTTGCTGCTTGCCTGACAACTGCTTCCAGCCAGGAAACAGTCCATCACAGCCATTTTTACGCTTGTTCTTTGTATAAACAAAAGTGAGTGTTCGAAGTGCTGGTAGATGGATTTTGTTAAGTTTTCACAGAGGCAGGTGTTTGCCCGTGTTTCCAGAATTTGCGTTAAGCTAAATTAGCTAGAAGTAGCTTCATATTAATCATGCAGCCATGGGCGTATTAGCTGTCTTATTTAATTCTTAGCAAGAAATCAAATATTTCCCAAGACAGTAAATTTTTCCTTCAGGTTACTTCTTGGATTGTGATCACAAGGCACACTTTTTAATCTTCAGTTAACCACCACGCACTCCTTTACTGTATGTGTGGAACATAGTATGACAGACCACGTGTTACTCTCCACTCTCACCTAGTCATAAAGGTTTAGTTCTTTTGTGGGTTGCTGTATTTTATGCTTCCACAATGGAGGGCCAAACCTTTTATTTGTACAACTTGCTTCCTTTCTACTCAGCGTGGGTGGTGGTAATCCTGTTCCTGTCTTTAGTACAGTATATCAAGAGCTGTCAAAGTTAAGTGACTCTTATGCCTGATGTGTATAGCAGAATTGTTTCATATTATGAGTTGTAGTTATGTTTTGTATTGGCATTTATCATTATAAATGTCACAGAAACTAAATTACACAACATGTTTTGCATATAGGCCTGCATGATGGTGTGTTGCAGATGTGCACTATAATGTTGAGCTACACCTTCTTTTCTCATGTTCAAGTTATTCAGTGATACAGAAGGTATCTACCCACTAAAGTCGCCATGAAAAATGCAGAGAGAAACAAATAAGTTTTGTCAAGTTGGTTCATCTGAATCAATAAAAAAAAAGTCTGTGTGACTGAACCAGAGCTCATTCTACCTTTGGCGTGCAGCCTACCAGTCCCCACATTTTAGGACCCTGAGACCATGCAGCGAAACCAGACACACCATAAAGGCGGAAGAGCTGACAGGCCACAAAGGTCACCAAACATTCAGAGTTCTGACACTGCAAGCAAATGTTATGCATCACAGCCCACAGTAGCACCAGGAACCCCCCCTCAATTAATGCACTTAGTTTTGTGGGTTGAAAGCAGTTTTTCACAAGAGACTCAGATATTTCCACAGGAAGTCTGTTGTTAAAAGCAGTATTCAGCTTTGAGGGAAACCTGCGGCAACTCTCAGTGAACTCAACCAGAAAAGTTCCACCATCTGAATCAGACAGTGACAAATCCTTTAAATCACCTGTCCGAATATTTCCTAATTGCCTAATTTGCGTTTTTTTTTCTTTCAATCAAGGCCTTTAAAAATATGGATCTTCTCTACAACCTTTGACCAAACATCACTACAAGAACTAAAACTGGAATTTTCCCCAGAATTGATATAAAAAGTCATTATATAAATAACTTAATGTACATAAAAGAGGATGTTACACCTACTTTAATTTGGTTTTTGATGAAGATTTACCATTAATGTTAACTTATTGTATGCATAACCTTTTGGTTCTATACATCACCGTCCTGCACCAAATCACAGTTGCTAAATAACAAAAACACCAAATTTGCATCAATCTGTCCATCTTAAAATCTTGTGTGTGTGTAAGGTCAAAAAGTGTTTCATCTTATTTCTTTATAAAGAAGCTTAAAACAAATTCTAAACACAGTTTTAGCAGCTTATGCACCAATGAAACCTAAAGTACCTGAAAAATTCCTTCTTGACCTGGTAAACATAAGATATGAGGCTTAAGCACAGTGATTCTTTGTGCTAAATGCTAACATGCTACTGGTAAGCAGGAGCAATGCACTAAACACAGGATGCCATTAGTTTTGCAGGTGTTTAATTATTAATTGAAAGTTCTGAACTTTACTGTTCTCATTCAAATCAAAAATCAAACCCTAAATCCCTCAAGTAACAATCTACTTTCTATCAGCTTGAGGCTGAGACATTGCACCAGAACATTCTTCAAAATTTCAATCCTGGTGTTTTTGGCCAAAGTTTTTTTCTCTTTTAATTTCAATTTAAAAACAAAACACTTTGTAGTAGCTGTGACGGCAATTAAATTTAGTATATACGGCTAAATGTACAGTATGTGTACAATCCAGTGAGCAACTTCATCTACTATCACTTTGACTGGAGTGAGTATGTGAGTATATGTACATGTATTCAGGAGGGAAATACACCCACGCTTCACAGTTTTACTTACAAGAGCAGAAAAGCAGCTGCCACCCCCTCAGGCTTGTACAAAGCACATGACTTCCAGGAAAACTACAAATTTTACATTTCCCCCAAAGTGTACTTCTGATGATGCCTCACACTTTCAAGAAGCCTGTGCAATCAGTGTGCACCTGTATTTTAAAATGCAGTTCTGTCCAAAAGCTTTTTTTTTTTTATTGCCATATAGATGGGTGCATTAGTTTCCTTTCCTACATTTACTCTAGCACTGCACTCAAGTACAATTTTAAGGAATTTGTACTTTACTGGAGTATTTTCATTTTCTGCTACCTCATACCTGGACTTCACTACCTATGCTTTTGACTCAGTTATGTTTGATAATTTATTTTCAGAATCAGATTAACACAACAGTTTAATCATAAACCTGTATTGATCCCTGGATTAAATATTTTTAAAACAGTGACCAAGTAATCCGTCTCAGCTCTGCTCATTTAGAAGCTCAGATAAGTGTATAAAAGTACAGAACTTTCTGAAAGTGACTAGGTAGTGTTTTAAGTTGATTGAAACATAAGACTGTATTAAAGTACTTTGCTCCAGTAAACATACACCACAGATAAAATTAAGTTACATCTTAGGAAGATGACCCCCCCACACATAGCTGCTTTTGTCGACACTTTGCAATGTAATACAAGTTGTGTTTAGGTCTGGCAATAGTTTTAACCACTGTAACCAGCATTTTATTTTGCATTTCTTGAGTTCATGTGGTGTGGGCATACCTGATAGAAATGTACCATCCGTGAATTTGAAACGGTTGAGTGCATCTTTCTGGTCCAACTTTTGACTAATACACTTTAAACTGTGTCATGTCTCCACCTAGTGGTTCCTCAGGAGGAACAATTCAAATCAGCATAATGGCAGGTTTTTGATTAAATTAGATCATTAAATACCAATGTTAATTATAGGCCAATGGAAGAAAACTAAAACAAAAGACAAATGAGGTAATACATCTTTATTTTTTTTGCAAAACAAGACTTTGAATACAGACGAGCCTGAACTCAGGCAAAGGAATCACAGTCCTTTCTCTCCATGCAGTGTTGCACATGAACAGAACCTCCCCTTACCTCATCATGGAATGTACCATTCCCATATTTACTGCTCTGACATTTAAAACTGAGTGCAACAGGGGACTTTGTAAAACAAATGTGTGGGCACCATGAAGTTGTATAGCAAAACCAAAACTGCTTTTCTTATGGAGGTTTTACAGAGTAATGCTCTAGACCCAAGAGCAACACTGGTCCACCACACAACACAATTTGACTTTTACCTTTACTGCAGTTTTAGGATGAAGAATTTACAGATGAGGCTAAACTGTTAAGAGACTTGGGAGGCAGGGAGTTTTAATCCACCTCTTCCATGCGTGAAGCATCATCATCATCACCATCGCCTTCTAGGGGAGGAATCTCTTCTGGGACAGCTGTGGAGGTGGCCTCCTCTGTGGGAAGATCGTCATCGATGCCTAGAGGTACAGTTGTGTTACTGTTAAAGAGTTCAATACAAGTACCCAGCATGTTGTAGCTACAATGTTTGTGTTCTTACCCAGTCCAAGTTTGATCATTCTGTAGATGCGGTTGGAGTGGGTCTGTGGGTCGTCCAGGGTAAAGCCTGAGGAAAGCAGAGCGGTTTCAAAGAGCAGGATGACAAGGTCTTTCACAGCCTTGTCGTTTCTGTCAGCTTCAGCCTTCTGCCTGAGAGTCTCCACAATGGGGTGGTCAGGGTTGATCTCCAAGTGCTTCTTGGCCATCATGTAGCCCATGGTGGAGTTGTCCCTGAGTGCCTGGGCCTTCATGATCCTCTCCATGTTGGCCGTCCAACCGTAAGTACTTGTCACAATGCAGCAGGGTGAAGACACCAGCCTGTTGGATACAGTCACCTGGATGAGACAGAAAAAGTGCAAAAGATTTAAATTCAAGAAGGGCTGAACTCGGTTTAAAGCATGCAGAACAGTAATGTCAGAAATAACACTCCAGCACATCCAAGGCAACAGTCAGTTTACCAAGACTAGCATAATGCAAAAGCATCTTCTAGACTAAGTGGTTAAACTTCAGCCAGTCAAACTATGAAAAATATATCCAAACTGAAACAAGCATCTGTTAGAACAGTAAAACAAGTGCATCCACCACATTGAGTTAGGTTTTCAAAAACGTTCTAGACTCAGTATCTCCCAATCCCCTGGATTCTTTAGTTACTCAAACATTTGGTTTGGAGGAAGACAAAAACAAAAACACACAACTCAGGGCACACTGGCTACCACAGGAATCCTAAGGGGCCAAGTGAAAGCGACATTAACTCACCACAACATAAGTGGGATGAATTGGGGCACCTGTTACCAAATAAGAGACCATAAACTGCAGTTGTGAGCTTAAAAATTGCAAAATGAGGGAAATTTGAGGTAAAACAAAAAAGGCTGCAGGATCACTGACCTTCTCCACTTTCTTGTCAAGTATCTCCTTCATGAGCTTGCAGAGGCTCTCAAACTTGGACTTGTCCTCCTCCATCTTTTTCTTCTCCTCCTCATCTTCTGGCAGCTCCAGTCCCTCTTTGGTGACAGAAACCAGGGTCTTGCCATCAAACTCCTTCAACTGCTGGACACAGTACTCGTCAATGGGCTCAGTCATGTATAGGACCTCGAAGCCATGCTTGCGGACACGCTCGACAAAGGCAGAGTTGGCCACCTGATCCTTGCTTTCACCTAGAGATAAGACGAGCATCAGTGTTAAACTGACATTTAGTAGCTGACTGCCATGGTACCCAGCTAATGGGGATCCTTTTAAATAGTGTACTAGTCTGCTTATGATGCAAATTAAATTTTCACTTGTGTTCAGGCATACAGTGCCAGGAGTCTCACCAGTAATGTAGTAGATAGACTTCTGGTTCTCCTTCATACGAGACGCATAGTCTGTGAGGGAGGTCGTCTCATCTCCAGACTGGGAGCTGTGGTAGCGCAGCAGCTCAGACAGCTTCTTGCGGTTTTGAGAGTCCTCATGGATGCCCAGCTACAGTGATACAAGGACAACTGTTATATACCCAAAGCAAACTCATACACAGGAGCAAGGTTACCTTTTGCCTGTTTTATATTCTCATATGAAAACATTTAGATACCTTGATGTTCTTGGAGAAGGCTTCATAGAACTTCTTGTAGTTCTCCTTGTCCTCAGCCAGTTCAGCAAACAGCTCCAAACACTTCTTGACCATGTTCTTGCGAATGACCTTGAGGATCTTGCTCTGCTGCAACATTTCTCTGGAAATGTTGAGGGGAAGGTCCTCGGAGTCCACCACACCACGGATGAAGTCTGGAATAAATATGATTTGTGGTTTAGTTAAACATTTTTAGCGGTACATCAAGGTTGTACCATTAACAAGAAATTCCTATTTGAATCAACAGTGCAAAGAATTTATTTAGTCTCAAATGTGGGGAGTCATTCAACTTACTCAGGTACTCAGGGATGAGCTCTTCACAGTTGTCCATGATGAAGACTCTCCTGACGTACAGCTTGATGTTGTTCTTCTTTTTCTTGTTCTCAAAGAGGTCAAAAGGTGCCCGGCGGGGGATAAAGAGCAAGGCCCGGAACTCAAGCTGGCCCTCAACTGAGAAGTGCTGTAAAAGGAAAATAACTTTAGTTTCAGTGACACTGCTGGCTGAGGCATACATACCTGCCAACAGCTGCTTTTCCACTCCTGTGCTCACCTTGACAGCCAAGTGATCCTCCCAGTCATTGGTCAGACTCTTGTAGAACTCGCCATATTCCTCATTTGTGATGTCGTCAGGGTTTCTGGTCCAGATGGGCTTGGTCTTGTTCAGTTCCTCCTGGTCAATATACTTCTCCTTGATCTTCTTTTTCTTCTTTTTGTCCTTGTCTTTGGAGTCCTCCTCATCATCTGAGCCCACATCCTCAATCTTTGGCTTGTCCTCACCCTCCTCCACCTTCTCTGCCTTTTCCTCCTCTGCCTCATCATCACTGATCTCCTTGTCACGCTCCTTCTCCACCTGCATGTAAAAAGGACTAGATTTTAAAGCTGCCATGGAACAAACTGTTTAATCCTGAACAAAAGAAAAGTGGAATATTAGCTAATCAAATTCAATACATACAAACAGGGTGATAGGGTAGCCAATGAACTGGGAGTGCTTCTTCACAATCTCCTTGATCCGCCTCTCCTCAGTGTACTCCGTCTGGTCCTCCTTCAAGTACAGGATTATCTTAGTTCCCCGGCCAATGGGCTCGCCTGTGAAAGGAAGAGAAGAAAAAAAAAAAAAAGTAAATGTACAGCCATTTGCACACAGTGCAAAATGACACACTGTGACCACACCCTACTAGCCATAAAACCAGTTTTACTCATCTGTGTTGAAAATATAACCTAGAGTGCCAAATGGGCACGGTGCAATACCATAGATAAACTGCCAAAATTAACATGCTGCTTTACGTTTAGGGCTAGACAACAATATCCAGCAGCTGAATGCAAATTTTCATTGCTTAATCAAATAATTTTTCCATTGTCTCATCTATAACTAGACAATTCCTATCACAGACACCCAGCACAAAGTGACTGCAAGTATCCTTACCCAACCAGCAATTTAAAACCCAAGCTTCAAGTTTACTATGAAAGAGATATGGAGAGCACTTAATTCTCCTGAGTACTTTTGAGTTATTTGGTGTATTTTTCTTGAAAAACCAAACACGACTAAACAGATGATCAAAATGGCCAGCAATGTATTTTTTTTAAATTCAAGTATGTTGCCACTGTAATGATGCCAGGACACGTACCGTTATCGACCTTAACTGTGAAGGAACCTCCAGCAGAGGACTCCCAGGCGTACTGCTCATCATCATTGTGTTTGGTGATGACAACGACCCTCTCAGCAACAAGGTAGGCAGAGTAGAAACCCACACCAAACTGACCAATCATGGAGATGTCAGCTCCAGCCTAGAAGGGACACATTTTTCATTTTCATAACGTTAACAGTCTTTGATAAGTGAATGCATCTATTATCATTGTTTTGCATTGCAAGTTAAGCCTGTTACATGCACATCCTTGTTCTTTTCCCCACATGCTGCAATATAGATCATGTTGCACTATCCCACCTGCAGGGCCTCCATGAAGGCCTTGGTGCCAGACTTGGCAATGGTACCCAGGTTGTTAATCAGGTCAGCTTTGGTCATGCCGATTCCAGTGTCGATGAGGGTCAGGGTGCGGTCAGCTTTGTTGGGGATGATGTCGATTTTCAAATCCTTGCCACTGTCCAGCTTGGAGGGTTCTGTCAGGCTTTCATAGCGAATTTTGTCTAGAGCCTGTAAACATACAATAACAAAATACAGATAATATTCACATGAGGTCCTACAGTCTAATCTGCAGCTTTGTGAATAACCTTTGGCATCATTAAATACCATATCATAACATAAGGACATGAACAAAAACTGCTTAATTACAAGGGCATGATAAGAAAATACAAAGCTTCTGCAGACTTACATCAGAGCCATTAGAGATAAGCTCCCTCAGGAAGATCTCTTTGTTGGAATAAAAGGTGTTGATGATCAGGGACATCAGCTGAGCTATCTCTGCCTGGAAGGCAAAGGTCTCAACCTCCTCCTCTTGGTGCATTTCTTCAGGCATCTGCACAAGGCAAGTCATACTTTTATTCAAACAATTTATGGAAAAATGTATTCCCTGGGGATGACAAAATACCATTACCCTAACGGAAAAACAAAGGGCTTTAAAAAGCTAAAAACTAATTTGCTGGCGTGTGATTCAGTCTCAGCATTATTATTATTATACAAAGGCAGTCTGATAGATCAACACATAACTCAGACAACTGCCATCATGCTACAGTTAAAGGCGGAAATTGCAGTAAACCAATATGGCGTCGACCGACAATTGACTCCTCAGACACGTGGTAAGAACTATAATTGAAAATGAAACAACTCAGAACCGGTACTGCGCGTTCACTTGTGGTTGGAACGTGGAGTGCAACCATAAAATGACCACTAGCGTTAACGGGCACGAATACAGACAAATGCTACCAAATCGTCAGTTAACGTTACTTTGGTCCATTTAGGTGTGACCCAACCAGGGCGGGTTTGAATTATTAAATAAATAGCCAACCTTGTCAATCTCCACCACACCTGCCTCGGTACAACCCAAGCCTGGCCCAACAGAGCGGCGCAGTGTCGCATTTACACAGTCGTATCACAAACTGTTAACGTTGTTATAAAACAATATCACCGTGTTAAGGATTAGTGTTCACATTATGCAACAGATATGAGAACACGACGCCATTATTGTACTAGCTGTATGTTAGTCGGGCAGGTTAATATTGCCGTCGTGACTCAGGAGCTCTCATCCTGACACATCAATGGAACAGTTAACGTTAAGCGTTCGGTTAGCAAAAATCAACTAACGGTTCACATCATGTTACGGGCAAGCGAAACAGTGCTATACATACCTTGTTTATTTTGTTGACTGTTCTTGAATAAAATGCAACCACCAAGTTGTCCCTTCTGCTCTCTGGCGCAGAATAATGGAAAGGGACTTCCTTTTAATAGACCGGAATCTTTATACACATGTGGTGCATTGTGCGGCCGTATCCATCCGCGGTGCACCACGTAACTAACGACCACTATTAAATCTAGTTTGCGGGTCGAACACAGTCAGTAAAATAGCAATATTATTTTAATAGAGCTACAGTATACTGACTTAAAACTAGAGCGAGTGTTGACACGAACGTAAGACGAGATAGTGAATAGACCAGACTATTATTCGTGTAATCAGGCAATTGTATAAGACTGCAGCACTTCAGTTTAAGATATGAATTATTTTCTTTATCCCAAGGTTATGTGCATTCGTTCTAAATAGGAAATCAAATCAAAATATATTTTATGCATGCTATACGTGGAACTAATCATTCGTGAGCACCTCAGTATACAAGAACCATTAGGTAAAAGCCAACCAAGCTGGTACCTCACAAAATACTGCAATCTATTTAGCAAAGCCAGTCCCCTCTGCTCAGCGTACCACTACTACCACCTAGTGTCGGTTTATGCCAAAAAGATTACTACAGAGACCGAATTTTGGTTGAAGGACTCATAACTAAAGCCATACACGTCGTGACAGAAATATCTCCATCAACTATATAATCAGTCAAAATTACAGGTGCATCCTTTATGTTATGAGAAATTGACAAACAACTTGGATCTTTTTGATCTGATGGAGGAATATTTGAAAAACCAGAAGGGTGTGCTTCGTTTCTTCTAGCACTTTCCATGAAAAAAAAAAGTCTAAAGTGACGTCACGGGCTTGTCAGCCGCAGCCTTCCCGGTCCAGCTGTGGACAGTAATGCCATGGTAACCATTAACTGAAACGTTCTGTAGATATAAAGATATAAAATAAATGTATTATAGCGCTGAGCGCTACCTGCACTGTTGATATGAGTATTCGTATATCGAAATAAAAATGTCTTTCACACACATTAGGCTTATGGAATTTACCAGCCATATACAAACATTTAACATTCGCCTTTCGCCCGTATACAATAAGCTATTATGTAAGACTAGGAAAATCTGGCAAAATTGTTTACCTTTTGAAACATTTTTACAAATAAAGGCAATCAAAATATTTGCCGATTAACTATTTCTTTTTTTTTTTTTTTTTTTTTTTTTTTTTTTTTTTTTTTTTTTTTTTAGGAAAAATGCAAAACATTTGTAGGTTCCAGTTAGTCAAATGTGCAAATTTAATGCTCCTTTTTGTTGTATATCACAGTAAACTGAACATGTTTGGGTTTTGGACCGTTGGCTGGACAAAACAATAATAGATTATGTTGTACCCGGTACTTTTTACCATACTGACTCTGAGAGACTGGGCAGTCCAAGTAACTACAAGACAGTGCTGATTTATTCCATGAACACAGGTAAAAATTAACATTACACGCTCAGGTATCTTGCACCTCCAAACTACACGCAGGCAGATGAAAGATGAAAGACCAAAACCAAAACCAGGCCTATACATTTATCTCTTCGGTTGGGCTAGCCCCATTCTACACAGGAACGTCAAAATGAGACGTCTCTGGTGCCAACTTTGCTGCTGGCCATAGCAGTAGTCAAAACATGAAGTAAATCAATGTGTGTGTGTCTGTTGATTAAGTGGTGTGTAGCTAAAAACATTTGTAGGTTCCAGTTAGTCAAATGTGCAAATTTAATGCTCCTTTTTGACCTGACCTCTAGTGACATGTCATGACATTAAACATAAGAACGTATTATGGCTAAGGCTACAGTTATACACATCATAATAATAATATTAAACACCCTGTCTGCTGACAGTCATCAACTTTTCTTTCTCATTATCCTTGACCAGATGTACCCTGTAGAAACTCATAAGCATGACTAAGCATTTAACAGTCTAACTAGACATCCTATCTCCACTAAACATTTCTAATACATAAAGTATCTATCCAATATCTATCTGACTAAAAATACCTAACAATTATATGAGAAGATAATCAGCAGATTGCTCAAAACAAAAATAATCGCAGCTAATGACCTCAAGAAACAATTATTAAACCAGGAGATCCACTGATATTTGAAATTATTTTTAGTTACTTTTATAGGACAGATGCACTGACGTGACTGCTTAGTTACATTAACGAATTAAATAATATTTGCTTCAATTGAACATTTTATTTGCAAACTTCGAATTTAATTGTTTGGCGGTTGTTTAGTTGTTTCTGATACCTCTGGTTGAAATTCTACAACTATTAAAATGCCTCCAAGAGGGAAAAGAGCTAATAAATCAGAAGCGAACGAGGATGTTGAAGCAGAAGAGGATTATATTTCAGCGGCGCAAGTAACAGAGATGTTGAGTCAGAAGAAGCAGATGTACACCGCACAGTTGAGCCAACAACAAGACAACTTCAAAGGTTTTGTGCAACTACTTATGGAGACAAATAACAAGAGACTCGACGACATGACCAGAGAAATACGGGAGATAAAAACGAGTTTGCAGTTTACCCAGCAAGATGTGGATGTGATTAAAGCAGCCATGGGTGAACAGAAAATACAAACCAAGGAAAAAAGGGATGATGTCTACAAAACTTGTGAGAGTCTAATAGCCATAACGGATAAAATGGAGCATTTGGAAGTACAGTCCAAGCGAAAAAACCTGATCTTTTGAGGGAATCAAGGAGTCAGCTGGAGAAAGCTGGACGGATGCGGAGTGTAAGGTGAAGGAAATATTAAAGGAGAAACTGCAAATTCATCAAGAAATTGAGATGGAGCGAGCTCACAGAGTCGGGAAACCTTCTGAGCGGGGGCCGAGGGCGGTGATGGTAAAGTTGATGAAAGAGAAAGATAAGGCACACATACTGCAACAAGCAAAGAAGCTTAAAGGATCTAATATTTATATAAATGAAGATTACACCGAGTCTGTGAGGAAGAGAAGAAGGGAGTTGATGCCGAAGTTAAGGGAGGCCAGGGACAGGGGAAACATCGCGTTCCTGCGGTATGACTGACTAGTGACCCGACCTCGGAACCAGAATCCAGGACCCATGACCAGCA